TGCTCTATGTATGTATGCAACTACATCGGCTGTTTAGGCTTTGGTATAAATACATTTCGTTGTTTCTTTATTCTCAGTGCAGTAATCCCTCTAGGACACTTAGAATTACACATAACAAGCAGCCGAGTGAGTCCAGAGTCACCACTCTACACTGAATTGCTGCCTAGGTTACTGCAGCCATGATCCATGCTGGGGCTACATTTTTTTTTTCCTAAGGATCTTAAAGAGCTAAGCATTACAGGCAGCCTGTTGTGGACAGACGGATTCACAGTTAGATCCCTTAGCAATGGAGCTTGTCTGGGGCTGTCCCTAAAACTGACCTAGCCTGGGGATGTGCACCCACCTGGGGCAGCACATCCTGCCACTGCCTTCATAAGACGCCCTAATATAACCCCCCACCCTTGATAACCGGTTTGTCCTCCAAGGGTTGGGGGGAGGATGTGTTGTAGAGGGAGAGGAAAAGAGAGGCCAGCACAACAGGCGAAGAAAACTTCTGAGTGAGTGCATGAGCTGGGAACATTCATACTTAGCTCCTATAATCACACCGAGCATATAGATCACCTAGAACAATGTTTGGCCTGTGTTGTTTGTTTGAAATGGGCGGGTGGGGGGGTTGAAGACTTGGAGACAACTCACGTGGCGAGGAGAGGAAGAGTTATTTTCTCTTGTCCCTTTTTTTTTTTTCTCCTCCATTCAATCTGCCACTTTGGTGCATCCCAAAAGCAGATAATTTGCACTTCCCAAGTATGGTTCTATGACCTGGGGACAAGACATCACAGGCAGGCCTGGTTCAGTGGTATCTAGAAATGGGGTGATGCCATCCTGGGAAGGGACAGCCTCTCAACCCTCTATTCTCTAGGGTGGGGGCTCCTGAGTCCCCTCTAGCTACGTCTATGCTGAGATGGGCATTGCTTTCTCTGCTTTTCTCGGGGCCGTCCTGCGTGTCTGGCAGCCATTCCAATTTCCCCGCGTGAGAGAAGGATGCGAGTTCAAGGGTCAACATCCGCATGCTGGTAACCACCTCCTTTTCCCCTGGAGGAGGAGGGCACAGAGTACGTGCCTACTATAGAGAAATTCACTTTGGGGGCACCTGTTACTGGAAGAATAGTGTCTCCCAGAGGGATGCAAACATCTGCTGTCCTAGCATCAAACCCTGGGCTGGATTGGAATGGACTCACTGAACACTGAAGGCTCCTTCACCTTCTCTGCTCACCTGAGTCTTCCTTTTGATTCCAGTTTGCCTCTTCAGCCATTCATAATTTAACTTTGTATTAATCCCCAAGCATCTTTCTCCAGACTGGCTCGCAGCCAGTATGGGAAGGGAGGACTGACAGACTCTTCCAGGGCATGTGAAGATTTAAAGGGTGCACAGAGACTGGGCCCTGGCCTGCTTTTTGAATACACAGGGCCAAATTCTGCTCTTGGCTACCCTGGATTTACACACGGAGACAGATCAACATAGCTCCACTGACTTCAATGCAGTTGAAGTTGTCAGGGCTGTGGTGACTTGCACCAGTTCAGGGTCTGGCCCATTAACTTTAACATGGATACTCTAGATGTACACCGGTGTAACTGAGAACAGAATTTGACAGGCAGGGCATTGCAAGTAGTTGCTCAGTGAATCCACGGATCTGCACCTGGGGCTTGATCCTGCACCGCTGGTGTCGGACATACCAGACACACTGGTGTCTGATCCTCCACGGCTGGTGTCTGGTGCTACTGAATGGAGTGGGAACAGACTTCTGAGGAGGAAGGTAGAGACTCACCAGGGTTAGGAGTGGGAGCGGGAGCACAGTTTATCTCCTCTTAAAACATGGGCCAGCGAGGAGTGTGGGAGCTCCTCAAAGGGGCCAGCCATGTTTCTGTACATCCCCCGCTGTACTGCCTATCCCTACATCACAAAGCTGTGCACCATGGAGGCCAGGCTTGAAAACACTCTCTCCTGGAGGATCATTTTCACTGGGCAGGTGTGTATATGACCCCTGTGCAGAAATCGGCAACCTCTGGCCTAGCACTGTCCGGCTGTCCACTAGGCCAAGCTCAACCTGGGGGTCACTCAGCTGAAATCATGGTGGATGAGTTGGGCCAATTGGCTGTTTTAAATAGTCATGTTGATCTGTCAATCCCCCTCCCACCCCCACTCCTTAAATTTGTGTTCCAGGCAGGTTTCCCTGCTGAGTGTATTTGAGCAGATGCCTTTGGATAGCTTACTATTAAATTAGTCCTTCCTGCATCCAACTGGAGATAATTATGTTTTCATTAGCCTGGGATGATGTATTACATCTTGATGGAACAGGCATGCCAGAAAACAAGAGAGGTGGAACTGGGCTTTTTCTTTTGAACTGACTGACACAGCTAGCTCGACTTTTCCACTTTCCCAGGCTGGCTGTGCTTAATTAGCCTATTATTTTTTTTCTCCCCCTTTCTTCATCGGCTAAATGCTCTGACATCTCCCAGGCTCACGCGGGTGTGGTGGTTGCTTTTTTAAATCAACGGTGGAAAGTTTTCTAATTGAATTACCTGGGATGCGGCTACTTAAAAGGGCAACTAGACAATCCGCCACTGGGCACTCCGTCTACCCCGTCCTTGGCTGCCCTTTTTACACACAGGAAACCCAGGGTCCAGGTTTCCCATGGGAAGGGTTGGCACATGCAAATCAAGAGAGCAGGCCCTTAGATCCAGGTGTCTTGTTTTAAGCAGGTGAATGGTGAACTCTTGAAGAACAGATTTTTGATCTATTTTGTGTGGTGGTGTTGCCATAGAAATGGGAGCCGTTGCAAAGACAGGATCATGTCAAACCTGTGTCTACACGGTGCTTTATCAGGAGCAGTTAATGCTCCACCAAGGGAGGAGAGCTAAAGATAGGCAGACAGTCCCAGCTCTCTCCTTGCTAGAGCTCTGTGTCTTGGTTCTTACGTACAGAAATATATTCCATTGAGAAAAAAAAATGCTCTACTATCCCGCTCCCTACAATCCAAGCCTTCCTCCACCCTGAGCGCAGGCATTTTAGTGGCCGAGACTTTTGGCCTTGCTTTTCAGACGGGGCTCCTTTCCTCCCCATGGTCCGCGTGGGGGCAGTGGCAGAAGGAGGCATAAAACTCCCAAACCATTGTGTGTCTTGTAGCCCCCCTGAACCATCCCCTCGCCCAACCCTTCCCTTTGGACAGAGGTGGCTGCAAGGGGATGTGGGAAGAGACCCTGCAGGATGCAGACGCAGGGCCAGGCAAATATTTGTTTCAATACCGGTGCGAATGAGAGGAGCCTGGTTCCAGCTCTGGGGTCCATCCTCTACAAATCTAGACCCTGGGGGGGGCTTACTGGGGGGAGATGGCGGGTGCGGAAAGACAGACGAGGCTCCAGGCAGCGCTGGGGCTGGGGCTGGAGCTGTAGGTCTGGCACCAACCCAGCTGCAAAGTTCCATAGGTGACTGTATAGGAGCTATACTGGGCGAGGGGGGGGGGCCATCTGTGTACACCCCCCGCCTCCTTTTCCCGAGCAAGTGCGGGCTGGCAGGTCCTTGGCTGGAGCCCCCTTGGCTCTGGGAGAGGTGCCTGCCGGATGAAGCAGGCTGCAAAGTGCCTGTCAACAAGCGGGGGGAGGGCTTAGCTCTCCACTGGGGTGGTTAGTATTTGGCCCCCTGCTCCAGTGGACCCCCCCCTCGAGCCGCCCGGGCGACTCTATAAGAGGTGGAGGGGGCTGCGCACACACAGCCTGGCCTCTCCAAGGAGGGCTGCAGCCTCTCACTCCCCACCCCTCAAAACCCCTGCTTGGACGTCCGAGCGCAGTCCTTTCCGCCGTGCTAGGAGCAAGGAGGCACGTTCAGGAATAAATTCCGCGTTGAGCTCAGCGCCGGGGCTCCGTCCCTACCTCTTGCCGCTGCTTTTCATCTCCCCGCGAAGAGCCGCCCGGTGCTTGCAGGGGAGGGGAGAGAGGAGACGGGGGGGCTGGGACCGACTACTTATTCCTCACTCGGCGCGGGAGAGCGGAGCGGGCGGCTCAGTTGCTGGGGGACT